TTCCCTAGATGAGTGTTAAAGGGACTATGAAAGAGTGCTAGCCCTTACATTGTGCAAAGGTAGGGAGGGAGGAGTGCAATTTTCATTTCTCGTAAGCATAAATTGGTGAACACTACTTGTAGGTCCAGCATCCTGGTTAGAAGAATAACTCCCATATTCTGGGTATTGCATTTGTAGTTACACAGACAACCATGTTTGGGTGTATGCTGATCACTAAGGTGGTGATTGGGAGCATAAACATTCACTGCCCTCCTATGTGAATTTTGACTCTGAACTATTTAACGTAATGGAAATTATGGTAGTAAGAGAAGGCACTTCAGAGCACAGAAACTAAGCAAATCTGGTAGAACATCTATCAGTATATGGAAATAAATGTATTTAATATAATTATGCACTTCCATTTATAGCTGTTTCATAGATGTTAGGGGCTGGAAGGGACCTCATGAGATCACTGGGCCCAGCCCCCCTGCACTTGGGCAGGAAAGACTGCTGGGGTCAGATGACCCCAGCAAGGTGCATGTCAAGGCATTTTTTTTAAAGATCTTAAGGGTAAGTGATTGTACCACCTCTGGTGGGAGTCTGTTCCAGACCGTAGGCACTCAACTCGTAAAAAAGTTTCACCTTATGTCCAAACTGAAGCAATCTTCAAGCAGTTTGTGACCATTGGTTCTTGTCTTCCCCTGGGGTGCCTTGGTGAGCAGATGCTCCCCCAGGCCCTAATGTACTTATATACTTATAGGCTACCACCAAGTCCCCTCTAAATCTTCTCTTCTCCAGGCTGAAAGACTTGGGACTGTTCAGCCTCTCCTCGTATGACCTGCTCTCCAGACCTTTAATCATGCACATGGCCCTCCTTTGGACTCTCTCAAGCTTCTCCACATCCTTCCTGAAGTGCGGTGCCCAGAACTGGACGCCACATGCTGTAAAACTTGGCAGCATTGCTATTAAGTTACCTTTATTGCATTCATTTCATTATCTAAATATATTCTTGCTGCAACAGGCCAAAAGTCCCATTTGACTATGTGAACCAATGAAAATCATATAGTAGTTAAGAAACCAGTTTTGGTAATCATCTACCTGTCTCATCCACTCTCAAATACTTGGATGGTGTAGCAAGGTATTTACTGTAAGATGTCAAAATTTGAATTCCCAGCTGTTTTATGGTCAAGTTGCTAAGACCTGTTCCTTCTTACCTATCAACACATTCACCATGGAGAGAGAAACTGCCAGTGCCAGTCAGCCCCTGATGACAGACTGTCAGCCGCTTGTTAACTTGTAAAATAAGCACTTTCATGCTTTCTCCCATGCCACCTTCTTGTGCTTGAGACGAGCTCTCTACAGATCCATAGACACTTAATTGTTCTTCATCTCCCTTTTTAAAACCCTTAAGCATTTTGTAGGCATCCTAGTATGACGAGAGGCTGCTGGTGTGACAGAGCCAATGCCCATTATGCAGACCAATGCTGTTTCCTTGGGCCCCCCTATCTGTCTGTCTTCATCTGTTCTCTCATCTTAGATTATAAACTCTTGGAGTGGGAAGTAATGTTTTTTTTTTTTATTGTCTTGGTACAGGCCCTTGCACAATGGGAACCTACCTGCTCCATAACGAAGGCTTCTAGGCACTACAATAATACATGTAACACGATAACATCAATTGAATCTTTTGATCCTGAACCTTCCTACAAAGTCTTAAAAACCACAGACAACCAAATCTATCTCTGTAAGTCCTAATGACTTTCAGTATGTTCTGAACCCAAAAATGGGTTTGGTTATTTTTCTTCAGTTACAAATGACACAAAGGACTTGATTTTTATAATTTGGAGAGCTGTAAGTATTTTAGTAGCCTCGACTTAATGCCACTATTTCAAAATTGTGGCAAAGATTATAAACACAAGACGAAAGTAATTCCTAGTTGCAGGAATTACCAGTAGTAAAGCTCAATTGCAAATGTGTAGCATCTTGTGTTACTGTTTATACTGTATGTGCCACATACATCAATTGGAATTACTATGAAGGCATAACTGAATTTTCAAACTTTTTTTTGCATATAAAATCACATTTTTGCTGTCATTTCTTCATTTACTTTCCTTGTCTTTTTGTTGGATTTTACAAAAGGCATAAGAGAACAGAACAAAATAGGCTTCAATATAGTCATTTAATTGTGAGTCAGTGTTTTAAAATGTTCAGGTGAGACTGCATGTTTATACTGTGAGACTGCAGACTTGACTTTTTAGCTATAATTAATCACAAAATACATAATACATTCATTGAATGTTCTAATGATCATGTTTAATTGCATGCACCTTCCTTGTACATTTTCCCCATCTGCATTTAAAAAGGAATTTGTCTCTCACAATTTTGAAATTCTGTTTTTGCAAAGTGCTAGTATTTGATTTCAACCTTATTGAAATGGTTTGACTTCACCATTTTAACTTTTTATATTCTTAACTGTAGTATGCTGCCAAAATATTAAGCTAATTTCCTGTCCAATTTCAGTGAAATGGACATGCATCTATAAAACACATCAATGGCATCAAATGAAAGTTGTCCAATAGAAAACTTCCATCAGTTTTTTTGGATCAGCTATATGCATGCAAGTATCTTCTACAGAGTGATCCAAAAGCAAAATCATTACTTAAACGTTTATGTTCTGTGTATTTAAAACCTTTTACAAGAGCCCTTCTAATTATCCATTAAAAACCTTAAACTCTGGTGATCAAAGCAAGCTTTTAACTACACCTTTTGTAACTTTACCAAACTTTTATAAAATCATATTTCAGTGCCTGAGGTTTCAAGCTCATTATTAGTTAGTAGACGACCCCCTTTATGACAGGGATGTTAAACTCAAGCTGGCAGGCTACATTCTCTGCCAGCAGCCAGGGGGTAAGCCAAACCCAAGGCATGGATAATCTGGCCGGTCGGACTTCTCACAGGCCAGACAACCCACCTTTAGTTCTGGACAGCAGGGCTTCTCTGCAGCTGAAGGAGCTGCTGTTTTTAGTGTGACCAGCACCAAGGGGGGAGATTAACACTGCCACTATTTGTACCCCACATGCCCCCCTTTTCCTGTTGCAAACAGCAGTCAGAAAATCAGTGGCAGGTAAGAGAGGGCAATCAGCAGTTGCATTAACCTGGATGGTGGCCTGCAGTGACAAATGCCGCTGGCCTGATTCAGAGATAGGTTGTCTAGCCTGTGAGAACGTTTCACACCCCTATTCCATCGCGTTATTATGGAAACATTTGCACAGCTAGGGCCAAAATCATTACAGAGTACTGAAATACTGTAGTTATTAGGGGATATATTTGAGGAGAATACATTTTTAAAGTAATAGTTTGGTTACCAAAGGCCAGATTCTGTTCCACATATTGGGTGTGTAAGTGGACTTAGCTGTCTAAGTACAAATTCCTGCTCAAATCCCTGAAAGAAACTGCTAATATACAAAGTGAATGGTTGTCCTATTCCCTGCTTTTTTGTGACTTGATCCTAAGGGTGATGTGTTAAAAATGTAGATGAAATATGGATTTTTTTAGGAACTTGAACAAGGTGGAACAGAATTGTGCTTAGCCACCTAATCCAATTTAATGGTGAACAGATGGAATAGAATCTGTCCCTTAATCTTTTCAAAGTGCAGTGTTTGCTTGAATGAGGGGGAAACAAGCTGCTCATCTAGGTCTGTAGGGGAAAAAAATAGGTGGTTAATGTAAGTCAATGAGCAAGACTACATTGTGTGGTGTTTAGCTGTAATGCAACTGCTGGTTTTTGGTTTTGTTTTTTATCTGAACTTTAATGTGAGATGCTTAACAACAGATGCTTTGATTTGCATTATTAGGCAAAACCCATTTTCATTTGTTCTATTGGCAATTTGATTGTTTTAGTCTTCCTTGAAAATGGGGTCGGCAATGTTTTGGCAAAGTGCCAAAAACACCCCAGACTCAACTTGAAAGATGTTGGCATGGCAGGCAGGGTGGGGAAGAGGAAAGGGGCCTGATCTTTGTTGTGGCAGCACAGCCCTGGTCCCTTCTGGGCTGTCTGCCTGGAGGTGCATGTGTACCTGTTGCCAGCAACAAGCTGGGCCGGGGCTCCGCAGACCTCAGTTCAGCAGCTTGCAGCCTCCCAGCTGCCTGTCATAGCCAGCCCAGGATCTGGACAGGCCCCCACCACCCACCAAGGAGCCTGGGATGCTCACAGCAGATGGCAAGAGGGGCTGCAAGCTGCTGCACTGAGGTCTGTGGAGCCTTGTCCTGGCTCGTTGCTAGCAGCGGATGCACGTGTTCCTCCGGGTGGACATCAGGGGAGCTGTGAGGGGCCTGATCCTTCTTGTGGCAGCGCAGCCACGGACCCTTCCCTGCCATCCACCCTGAGGCACGTATGCCTAGCAAAATGCCTTTGCATGACATGCTCTGGCACATGCGCCAGGGGTTGCCAACCCTCGATGTATCCCTTTTTAAATAATTTTTTTTTTAAGGCCATGTAATTTCACTAAATTGTCTTGCATTAAATTAAAATGAATAGCGTTCAGAGAAAGAGAAGTCCTAGTCTCAAATAAATCTTGGGAAGATTTGCTTTCAGAAAACCACCCAGTTGGTACTTGAGAGCATGGTGGGAGGGATGCAGATGTATGCTGAAGAAATGACATTCCATGATTATTCATGCAGTGAAAAGCAAGCCAGGAAACGATACATTTGTCAGAAGTTGAGTAAATTTAATTCCTCTGGTTAATAATCAACCCAGACGATTCCAAATTTAAGAAATCATTAGATAAATATAACATTATGTTGTTAGTTGAGAAAAGCATTCAAATAAATCGCAACCGCTGTTAGTTGAACAACTGCATAATTTACCTTCTTTAGCTGAGTGAGTGTGAAGTTTCCTGTCATCCTCCTGCACTCCAGAGATTTTTATACAGACGTGCACCTGGAAGGATTAATTCTCCACTTACAAAGACCAGCCAGTAGGAGTGCAGGCTATTTCGGGTAACATTACCAAGCAGCACTCTAAGAACTTGCTATGTTACGCTAAACTTTTTCACATTTGCTAAACAAACTAAAAATCCTTGTCAGTCTCTGAAGCTCTCACAATGTGTCTGCTTTAGAAACTGAATCTCTTCAAGTTCTCCTGATGCCTTTCTTGTGGTTTTTAGGTTTCAGACTATTTTATGTCTCAATATTATCAGCTGCAGTCCTAACCCAAACAAACAGCTTAACATGGTCAAAGTTACTACACCACTAACCTACCCAGCCAGTTGGCAGCAGACCAAACCGAGAGAGAAATTCACGTGGCACTGAAGATCCTGCTTCCAGGGAAAGGTCAGGCCATAATGCCCCTCGAAGAGGATCTTGTGGCAGAGGAAGCCATGGGCATACTCCCTGTCCACTCTGAAGTTATTGGAGTTTTTGGAAGCTGTGAGATGAGAGGTAAGGGGATCCAGCAGCACTACAGACTTAACAGAAAACGTTAGCCCTCCAATAGGATCTATAATCAGCCTGCAGATGCTGAGAGAGGTATGGAAGCCTCTCTTAAAGGAACAGCATAAACCTGAAAACCCTTTTTCAGCTGAAAATCTTTCATCTGTTTGTGTTACAAGCAACTCCTAAGATTAGCCAGAATATTACCTTTTTTTCTTTTGAGAATTCAAAGCTATATGTATTTCCTAGTTTTGCTGCCCCCTGCACAATTGTATTTTGCTTCATTGGAAATTAATTTTTTTTTAAATCACCAATTTGTAGAAAATTCCTGTTAAAGGGAAGTTGACAGACTATTTTGTTTTCTACACGTATAACAATTGATTTAAAGAGTCCATAATGAGCCACTGGAGGTTTGCATTAAAATTGGGAATATGTAGACTTAACGTCTAATAACTTATAAGCATTTACCTGTCTGAATACTTACAACTCTTAAACTCTTATCACATGCTGCTTTTCAAGAATGAAGGGGGAAAGAAAACCTCTCTACCTCTCCCCATCTGAGTTGCTTCTGTTTTTTGCACAGTAACCACTAGGTGTCCTCAATATGCTCATACATCACATTCTCTTACAAGTATGCACTTGTCGGCTTCCTCAGCTCTTTACTAGGCTGGGTATTTTTCTGATGCTTGGGACCAGATACTGAAACACTGGTCTCTTAACCAGACTTATACTCTGAGAATATCTTAAAAGTACGTTTAATCTTTTCCCAGCCTGTTTACTGCCCACCTGACCATTCAGATACCATATTTATGTGAATCCAAGACAACCTTTTTTGTGGTTTTTTTTCCCCCTCCCATTCAACCTGTGGGGAGGAGGGGTCAAGACAGCCCCTCATCTAGGATCTGAGTACAGGGGAGAGGGAGGGGGTCAGGCAGTTGCTGTGACTCTGGTTCAGGCATTGGAGCCTTAGCTGCTGCCCTGTCCCTCCTGCCTGCTGTCACCCTGCCCCCCACCTCCCCACGGCCACCTCTGCCTTGTGCTGCCTCTGCCTCACCCCCACTTTCTGTCTTCCTCCTACCCTAAGCACTTGCCCCTGCTGCCTACCCTGACTTGTGGCTCAGGCCTGAGACATGGAGCTCCAGCCCCAACTCTGCTCCAGAGCCAGGGCCAGAGCTGTCAGTGCTGCCACTCCAACCACGGGGGTCGGACTCGATGATCTATTGAGGTCCCTTCCGACCCTAACATCTATGAATCTAACAACCCTAGCATCTATGAAAAACCACTGCTGCCCGGCCAAGCAAGGTCCGTAGCCAGCATGTTCTCTGTGCCCTGGGCTGGAATTAGATCCAGACCTGTGGGGGGACACACACTGGGGGGGACACAGGCATGGGGCAGGCAGCAGGGGAAGACAAGTGGAGGGGGGTCAGAATGCTTGATGAAAGCGCTAGCTAGCATTCTCACCAGGTAACCCTTGCATTGGTAGACCATTATTGTTGTTCTAATGCAGGGGTGGGCAATTGCTTAGGCTGGTGGGCCACTTAATGAGTTTGGGTGAACTTTCAAGGGCCACGCACGCAAATTCAGAAGACATCATTTTAACAAATTACAGTTAAACAGCTCATAAACTAAAAATCAAACATTTATTAGAACATTTTCATTTTATATAAAAGTTTTTGTCCCGATTTATGGGGTTTTTTTTAATAGTGTATATATAGAGGCAATTGCATAATAGCTCAAAATAAAGTCTTACTCTTGTATATTGTATGGGGGGAGCTTTTGGGGGGGGCGGTGTCGAAGAGGGAATTGGTGGAAGGCAGCTGAGAGTTGGAACTGGAGCCCCATGCACTGGGGTAGGAGCTGCCCGGCTGCAGCTTCCCCCGCACTACCTGCTGCCCAGAGCGGCGCAGCAGGGGCAGGAGGAAAAGCTGCTGGAGGCAGGGGAAGCTGAGCAATACCTGGGTGGCTGCTGCAGCAGCAGTAAGAGCAGCCCTGCTGGGAAGCTATATGTATTTCCTAGTTTTGCTGCCTAGTTAGTGCCTGCTGGCCTGGGTGGTGCCATCATTGGCAGGCACTGGGTGAGTATAGGTGGGAGCAGGGGTGACACGTAGGAAGTGCACGTGGGTGCATGTGTACCTGCTGAGTGTGGCGGTGTACCCCCTACAAAAAGGTGCCACCAACACGGTTGACAGCGCCTGGGGGGGTCACCAGTCACCACCCTGCCACCAACACTGCCAGTGGTGTCTGCAGGCAGTCCGCGATCCCCACTGGCCACCACTGACACTGCTAGCTGCGGGTGGTCACCGACAACACCAACGGCATCTGCAGGAGCTCCCCCGCTTACCGCCACCATGCTCCCACCTCCACTGTACCCCACCAGCTGCCAGGGGCACACGTCATTCATGGGTGGGAGCTCTGTGCAGGCTGCCTGGGGTAGGAGCAGGCAAAGCTCAGCCCTATGCAGATCACTGTAGGACAGCCATGAGATAGATACAATGAATTGGCAGGTTGGGTCCAGCTCATTGGCTCTGGTTTGCCCACCCATTCTAATGTAAATTCTAATGTCAAGTTTTTATTTTCTTTCCTTTAAGCCGTTTCTTCTTACTCATCAGCAGGGATATTGGTTTTCTCTGATTTTAAAAAATCTGCTATTTTCGGGTTAAAAATAAATAACCCCAAATCCACTTTTTTTCTATGGACACTTTGGATTGGTGGAACATTTCCACCAATCAGCAGCTGGGAAGGGATTGCCCTGCCCCTGCTTGGAGAGGGGAGGGGGTGTGAAGAGCCCCTGGACCTGATGGAAGACTGCACTTTGCAGGTCCAGCAGACTTGGGGGCAGGGCCTCTGGTGTAAATAAAAGCCCAGTATGCTGGGCAGACATGGCAAAGGACGGCAAGGAGAGAGGAGCTCCAGAGAAGACCGTCATCAGGACCCTGCCTGAGCCTCAATGGTGCACATATCGGCGCACGGTGAGCTGGCCCTGGGAGCAGCTCAAGACTGCTTGGGCCCCACAGTGCACAGGTCAGCACACAGCTCCAGCACTGCTGCTGCTGGCTGCCAGCCGGGCTCCTGCTGTCCCTAGCAGCACGTGGGAAGCCGGCTTCAGCCGCACGCTTCTCCAGATGGGACAGGCCTGGCTGGGTCTGCACCGGCCAGCAGAAGCAGCGGCAGAGCCATGTACTACTCGGGACTGACCGCAGGTAGGGGGAAAATGCAGCTGAGCCCCTGCTGCTCCAGCTGGGCTCATCCTGTCCGGAGCAGCACACAGCTCTGCCGCCACCTCTCGTCCCTGGTGCTGACTGGGCCAGAGCTGCAGCCCAGCTGCTGCTTCCCCTCCCCAATGCCAGCCCAGCCTGACCCTGCGCAGCCTGAGTGGCATGGCATGGCATGGCATGGGGAAATCCTGCCCAGCAGCTGCTTTCCTGGGCTTACCTGCAGGGCAGGGCCCTTTGCAGTCCCGCACGCGAGGCAGAAGCTGGCCCAGACATTCTTTCCCCTCACTGGCGCCACAGGTTCTGGCCCAGCCTCACTGCCCCTTCAAGCTGCATATGTGGCCTGAGCCAGGGGCAGGGCGAGGCCAGGTTGGTCAGGCTGAGGTCAGGGGTGGTTGCCTTGCAACCAGAACCCAAGAAAACAGCCTGAGGTGCTGGAGCTGGTGGCTCGTGCTGCCAGAGGCTTTTAGAGAGGCAGCCAACATTACATGGGTTTTGAAGGGGCTCCACGGGCTGGAGAGAAGTGCTTGCCCTGCCAGATCCAGCCTGCGGGCCGTATTTTGCCCACCCCAGAGCTAGAGGCACACCGGAGAGAGGCCCTTGTGGGACTGACCACCAGGGGATGAGCCTTGTCTGCTTCAGAGCGGGAGCAGGAGTTGCTGGGGAAGCAGGTGCCACAGGGGACATGGGCTTGAGAAAGGAGAGTCTACAGCTTCCACCGTCCTCCACTGTGGAGTGGGGGCATGTCCACATCCCGGGGCCCTAAAGGGAAGTGGCTTCAGGGAACACCCCATGGGGTGCTGAGTGCACGTCATATTTTATGATTGATGTTTGCTTCGTATTGTTGATGTTAATATAGTTATGGGTACTCCTTAAGGCGGGTTATATTGGTTTACCTGTTTTTTTTACCTATATATGTTTACTGCCTATTATCTGAACTTACCTGTATTGTTGCCTGTGTACATCTATTGCATTGCTACCTCAACTTACCTGGGTTTATCTGAGTTGATGCTTGTATGTGTTTACTGTGTTGATGCGTTGACTTACCTGTTCCAGGGTGTTAATGTTCATCTGTGCAGGGAGGTTAATTATTGCGTGTACTGTGGATCACCTGCACTGAGTTCTCAGTTACCTGTTCTATGTTTTGCAGTCCCTCAAAGTGGTGCAGCATGTTGATTGCAGGTCATTGTATATGGTTTCGCATACCAATTTTACTGTAAATATTTAATGTGTCATATTCGTATTTATTTTTGTATAGAAATAATTTGTATATAGTTAAGTGCTTTGTCCCAGCCTGGCTCTATAGAAAAGAGGGAACTGCTTCCCGGTGGCAGGTCCCTCTCACAGCAGTCTTGCCTGACCACCCCATCCCTTCCACTTGTGGACAGGGCACACCCCTGGGTTAGTCTAAGATGCAGAGATTAAACTGAGAAACAACTGGACAGACACTCACGTTTGATTCAGGAAATGCAGCCACATAGCTGCAGTAGCTCAGGCCAGAAGCTAGGTGCGCTACACCACAGTTCTCTGACACACAGCCAGCATGGGCTGTGTGTTTGCTTCCTCTTCCTGCTGCCCCTGAGATCTCTGGGATTTGCAGCCCGGACTCACACCAGCAGGACTATGCATGGTTGCTGATCACTTTCTCTTCCTGCTTCAAGGTGCCTCTGAGATTTGAAGTCTACAGTCACAGCAGGTGGTAAGTTTTTAGTAGGGCAGCTCCATACTTGTGGCAAGGGATATTTAATCTTCCTCCCTGGCTCCAGGCCCCAGCCAGGGTTTGCCTCAGGGGCACGGTCCCTGCCTCCTTCTCCCCACCCCTGCTTGCCCCAACCCTCCTCTGCTGGAACAGACAGCCCAGCCCAGGGCTGGAAAGCATGCTGGGATGCTGGAGGACTGTGATTTAACTTGAACCAGGAAGGGGTCTAAGACAGAAGTTTTATAAACCAGTATGACCCAAATCAGCTAAGTCTGATACTACATTCAACCAGGTTTATCTTAAAACAGTTTCAGCCATTTTGAAGCCAGTTTATGTGCACTGAGCTTCTGTTCTGTTATAGGTTTAAAACAGTTTCTGATTACTTAAACAGGGTTTATGTGTAACCTCTGTCCATAGCCTT